GGAATGAAACCTTGAAATTTCAAAATTATCAGAACACCTTAAAATAATGGAAAACATTCCTGACAATTCTAAAAACATATTTTTAATTTTCCATATTTATTTATATGTTTATATTTATATTTGCAATGCAAAGCTAAAATAAACTACTAACTTTCAAGATGAAAATTTGAAACAACTGAAAAATTCCAAACGTGACTTTTCAACACTGTCAGGCTTTTTTATTATTATTAGTTTCAAAATTAAATTTCTGGATAATTTCTGATGTTTTTCAGTTTTAAAGAAAGTGAAAATTTTCTCTTGAGTGTTTGTTTTATGAAGTATTTCTAACTAGCCTTAGTAATGACATAAACCTAAATCTGCAGGAGGTGGATGAATTGTCCTTAAAAGCTACATGAGAGCATCATTTCCAGTATAAACAGAATCGCTGGTAAAAAAGCTTCGTAATTCTTTATAATCCCTTCCACTTGGAGGCACAGGAAGTATTAGTCTGGCTTGAATGGACAAAAATGAAGAATTATTTGATTTCAATCTACTGCATAGAATACTGCAGACGGGCTGCTCCGTTAAAATTAATAGCAGTGCAGATATCTGCTCTTTAAGAGAAAACTGATGGTTTTGGTTATTATACCTTGCAGGGAAACCGACTGGCTAATACAGGTTGAACAAGCTCAGCTGATCAACTGGAACAGGACACAAGGCAAAGAGACGATGGCAGCCGGGCAGGAGGCAGCGGCGCTAACAGGTGGGACACCAGTGGTGGTGACGGCAGAACAGCTGGTGCCCTGCTCGTACAACTCCAAATGATCTATAGACCGTGTTGGTCCTCGCTAGGCATCCAGTTTGTGCGTTAGCCAAATTCTTTGGTGCGTCCTTCCTGCTTATCTTTGTTTCAATGTCACCGCAGAGTTGCAATGCTTGAAATACTGTGTGTGCGTGCTGCTTTATGATTAGCTGTAGTGTTTAAACTATATGGTTAGTATTTTTTTTTTTCCCTTCCCTCTGGAGGTAAAAGAAACAAACAAACAAACAAACGAAATAACTGGCATCAACAAGCACCCGCTGCTGGTCTAGCTTGCGGTACCGCACAGTGAAAGATGCTTTTCTTTAACTTTTAGGTTTTGGGGGGGTTTTTTTGGTTGGGTTTTCTTTTTTTTTTTTTTTTACAACAGATTTGCGTACCAGGGGTGGAAAAGACCCCAAATCCCGCCAATTGGCACAACTTGTTATCAGACACAGAACTCTCTGCTTTTTACAAATTGTTCAAAATAAAGTAAGAAATGGCAGCAGTAAGCTATGGGCTGGTGAGACTTGTCTGCTTCTAAGAACTTGTTCAGTCTGACTTAGGTTGATGTTCTTACTGGCAGTTTATATTAAGCCATATAATCAGATCTCCATAATAGTTTTCCAATGCCCAGGAGAGTTTAAATGATGAGTATAAAAGATGTAATTCCAGCAGAATAGGAAATATTGATGTGACTGTAAACTGTGAGATGGTATTTTACCACATTGTATCCCAACCACAACCATTTCTCATGTCTGCGTGTTCTGTAGATAATCAAATAAAATCTCAGAAATAAAGAGCTAAGTAACCTGGAGAGAGAAAGAAAAATCAGTCTTAGATGGTTGACTGCTGAAGCATTGCAAGGGAGCCTGACTACCAAATGAAATACATATACCTTCTTCGTTACCAAAACATATTTTGTAGATGTCCAGTTTTATGGTGATAACATTAAGCTTCATAAATCTGACAAGCAAGCCTGCTTTAAAAGGGATTGATTAAAAACAAAAGGCATTATGGTATTCAAAGTTGGTTGTCTCTCCCATGATTTAGCCCAAAATAGAAAGACCGAAATAGTAGAACACTGCAATCTCAGCTGTGGTTCAGTTCTTCTTAATCTTCAAGCCCCTCTCCCCAGCCATTAAACTAAGCCCTCAGTGACATCCTCGTATTGTGAAATTTAGCAGGGGATGTATAGGCAGGTCTGGGTAGGCACGCACATGTATACTGTTGATTATGCATGTGATGAAGCAGAACACTGATTATGATTCTAAAGGATAATGATTTATAGTCAGAATACACATTGTTGAAAGCAGAGACTCCATCTTCCTCTGTTTGTGGGAAACCTAGCACATAATGATTTAAATCTTGATTAGTTTACTACCCCCTGCCACAATTTAATAAACATTATACCTACATGATTAACTTTCATAAATATCAGAAACTATATTAAAAGCTTCATCTCCAAGCAGGAAAATATTATATATGTGCTTCACTTTACCCACATACAGAGTTCCAACCTTTCTGAGATTGAATTCAACACCCATGGGGCTGAATATACACAAGAAGCAGACAATTTATTAAGAAAGGTGCCATTTTTATATCACGTTTCAGAGTAAATTTGGCTTTAGAGATGAGTAATTCAGGCAACTGCTGAGAGCCTCACACAGATCAGCAACTCATGTGTTAGTCTGCTACTTCCTTCAAGCAATAAGAACAGAGGTGGGAGGCAACACATGGTACAAGCTCCACTGCAGAACCTAGGATCCCACAAATTTGGAGGTCAGAACGGCAGAGATCCTTCTTCTGTCATTAGCTGAGCAACAGATGTGATGCTTTATACAGGAGAGTCAATGATTCACATTGTCTGTAAGTCCATTGCAATATTTCTATTATTTGGAGAAATAAGCTCTGAGAATATGATCCTCAAACACGTTTGCTGAGAGTTAAGGAAGAGATGAAATGAGCAGAGTTTTAGCAGTGCAGAGCACTGATTTCAAAATGCCTATAGGGGCCACTCTTTCTGAAACTATCATGTTTCAAATAGGTATCTGAAGATACATTTAAGTCCTTACTTGGTCTTGCAGATTTGTGGATTTTGGATCATTTTCACAGAGGCAACCTTTGACTGGCCTGGTAGAATTTCTTTTTTTTTATTATTTTTACAGAAAATGCAGAATTGGGATCATCTCAAAGGGAGAAAAAAGAGGTAAAAAGAGGCAATCCCTCCTGCCTTAACTTTAAAAGTGTAAAGAGAAACCTATAGAGGGTTTCTCTCTTTTCTTTCACAATCTCCCTTCTATTCTTTTCCATCTCAAGATTTTTGAATGAATCTTTCAGTCTTATTGCCAAACACAATGATAAACGTAATATAAGAAAGTCAACCTTTATGGTTTAAACTATGCTTTACAGTTATTCATAGAATTATAGAATCATAGAAGAGTTTGGGTTAGAAAGGAGCTTTAAAGGCCATCTAGTCCAACCTCCCCCTGCAATGAGCAGGGACATCTTCAACTAGATCAGGTTGCTCACAGCCCCGTCCAACCTGACCTGGAATGTTTCCAGGGATGGGGCATCCACCACCTCTCTGGGCAACCTGTTATTTATTAGCCTTCTCCGTATCTTCATAGGATCTTTATTTAATATGGTACCTTAGAAGTTTTCTTTGAAAATATTCTGCTCTTACAAACTTTTTCATATTCTGCTCATCGTTCCTGTTATTTCAATGAGAGTATTCAAATAAATACAAATAAACACATATGCCAGTGTTTTTCTGACTGGGGTTGCTGGGCTGCAAAGGCAGTGAAGGTCTGGCCAATCTGCCCACCCTCCCACATATTAAGACCATCGGGGGTTACACTTGGAATATGGTTCAGTCTCCCTTTTTTTGGCTCAGGAAATACTACTCCTTTGCTTAATTTCATGTGTAATGTAGTGTCATATCTAAATAAGGACACAAATTCTTTATACCTCTACAGGTGGCAAAACCAGTCTGAAGTTGAAAAGCAATGACTTCCTTGGAAAATCAAGAATCATTATAAAAAGCATAGATTACCTGTCTTCGAAGGTCTCGTGTTTTCTTGGTCATCTTGTCAATAGCAATGTTGAGTGGGTCCCCCTTCTCCTTCCTTCCAGTCTGTTAAAAATGAAATTTCAGAGTTAGAGAAAAATACTCCAGAAAATATACACTTTTTAAAAAAATAGTACAGATTTATCAAAGGAAATCTGTGCATCTCTTTCTGTTTGCTTCCATCAAGTTGTTATTTCCAACGTAATGTTTTCAACATGTTTATGTGCAGGGGGCATAGCAAGCTATTTTAAAACAATCCTAAAATGATAAGAAGAAAGATTAAGGTGACTCACTGGAGAGTTCAGAACTTTTCCACCAATAAATTATGTGCATATATTATAGCCTATACTCCAAAAATCTGGCAAGACTTTTCACTATAAAACGAATATTAAGAGCTTCTAATCTCCATCCTGCCAGGCACTGGGAATGTTAAACATGATAATAAGCAGCAACACAGCTTGAGGACAGAAGGAAAATGGTCCCTACGCCTGTAACACGAATCATATTGGCAGACATTAAGTGCAGTATAAAGAAGAATTCCACTTAAAACACTTTCCTGCAGGAAGTCTCACAGCAAAAATTCTCACGAAGATTAAAAAGGGGGAAAAAAGCCTTTTTTGTCTCATAACCAATGAAATAATTTTTTTTTTTAGGTTCAGTGGTACAAAAAGCATTAAGTGACTTTGTCAGCTCTATTACCTTTCTCTTAAAATAAAACTGCTTCTCTAAAGCTTTGTCACATCTCTTATCACGTTGAACTCTGCTTGATAGCTTTTCATCACGAATCAAAATGATTTGCCATTCTTTCTGGCAGTACTCTTTCCTTCCCAATGCTGTTTTCAAATAGTCCTATTTAGAATTGTCCCTTGCATATGATTAAGAGCGATTTTCTATTTCCAGCTGAGCCTAATAGCATACATTTCTGGGAACTATCGAGAAGTCACTTTTGGGGTGGGATGGGGATTAAACATACCCTTTCAATAATGATCTCTTAAATGTACAGCACTGTTATCAACTCTGCAGGGCCACATTGGCAAGTGGCCTGTGTTCTAGTCTTCTGCTTTAAGCATTCATTCAAGGGAACGCCTGCTTTTTATTATTGTCTCTAATTCTAATTATGATATGAGGCCAATGCATTTATGATCATTTAGATCACTGTAAAACTCATCCCCTTTTTGTATTTAGAAATTCAAACACAAAAATATCAAGTGCCACCAGAATTTAATATAAAACATAAATTTACCTCTTAGGTTTTTAAAAAGAATCCATTACAAATTCTGGAGTTAATCATACAAATTGACACCAGAAAATAGAGAGAGAAAGTGTTTGCTATGATACAAGAGGAGGCATCTGTGTAACCCGCTGATATTTTTATCTCACTTTTCTTGTGTTCATCCTTTGACTGAGCTTCTTCTGGTCCCCAGCTAAAGAACTACGGCTCTTTAGCCTAAGCAATTTCAGCACATCCTTTTGGTTTTAGATGCCCCAAATTCTGTCCCTGGCATTTTGTCCAAGACAGCAGCTGTCATATGTGCACATAATCTATAGTTTTTCAAGCTGAAATTCCACAATAAAAACGAGGCAGACCTGGGCAGACAAGTTTGGTATAGGAAGCCTCTCCTAACTGTTGAAATGGTACAACGGGGACTGCCAGATGAGCTAGTGTCAGCCAGGTTCCTAGTCTCTTAGACTACAAAGCTATATTCTAAGAAAATTTTCAGTTACTCCAGCTGTGTGCCGTGTACTAGCTGAACCAAGTATCCTTGGTGACATTACCGTTCTGGGATGCTTTATTTTCCCAGTCACATAATTCAATTTCTGTAATATTGTTTAAATTCTTCTCTTCCTTCTCATTGTTTAAGTTTTAATGCATTGGCTTAGAAAGATACATAACCACACAAAATGTTTTAAGACTTTTTTTCTGGGGCAAAGATATTTGCTAAACTGTACATATTGTAGTGAATATTAACACAACGTGAATAATAAAAAGCAAACACCATGACACTTAAGAGTACACCGGGATGGTATTTTACAGCTCTCAAACAAAACAAAGCTAACAATTCTTCTTCATTGATCTCATGCAGGGCAGATGTATTTTGTGTTCACCACCAACATGCAAGGTCAAGCACTTAATGCCTGGCACCCATTTAGGAGGTCAGAAAATTGTCCTGAATAGGAACTTGTGACTTCTTCAAGGGTGGTCAGTTACACGATACAATGACACTGAATAAATTAGGCATCTGATAAACTGCACTGTTTAAGAGCAAAGGCTCCTGACATTCCCTAAATGGTCACTGGAAAAAAGTAGAAATTTTGAGATTGACTTAAAAGTTTGTAATTTAGGTTCCTAACCTGGGTGTTTTGTATTGCTCATAGGAGGAAACTATCACTGAGAGTAGGCCCATGGTAGGCTACATCTAACACCTCTCCTAAGCCTCTCTTCAAATTGATCCTGTAACTTTTTTACTCTAGTTTTAAATTACATAAACAGTGTCCCTTAAGGTACATCCTGTTGTGACCACAAGACAACTGGGAACCCTTCTGCGACCCTTAGGCCACACAACAGACTGTCAATATCCATCTGGCCAGCCCCTTCTCCCTCCAAAATAGAGAAAAGCCTGTTCTATATTGCTTACTGAAAAACTCCCTGCTCTGTGCAATTGCCCGAATCATGCCTACATGCTGTCTGAGATGCTAAATGGCATGAACCAGTCTGTGCTGGAAACAGGCTACCAGAACAAGGGGACAGAGATCCAGTTGAGCTCTCTCAATGGCAACATTTTATTAACACGTACGCATACGGGCAAAGTCATAGAAACACTTCTCCTGTTCTGCAGTTTTTACTTATCCAAGAATTTTAAGTGTCCTTCACCTGCTGTAAAATGGCTACTGCCTTTTAATCTGGATACAAAACCCCTTCTTCACTGTATGATTTCAAAGAAGGAGAAATTGGTTTAGTAAATCACATTATTGAAAAATAAATAGCGTGGCATGTGATGTTACATAGCTTCAGGCAGGTCTGTCAAACACCATCTGCTCTGTGCTGAAAATATAAGTTTATTAAAGTTTATTTATTTAAGTCCTTAAATACTCTTATATTAATGTTACTCTGTGATGAATTTTTTGCCTTCATTCTTAGAAGGGATAGAAAGGAATTTAGGGGTTTCCTGTGTTTCTGAAAAAAATGTAAAGTTTGGTATTGAGCCTTATAGCATTTCTCTGTTAATCTTTTTCTGCAAAGGGAAGAAAGATACTTTGGAGATGGGATAAAAAGGAAGTAGAAATTGCTGCTGGCATTGGGTTAAAAGGAGAAGGAGGAGAAATGCACAGAATTCCTTGAATGCCAAAATATTGGTATTCAGAGTTCCTGTGGCCAGAATTACACCTATTCATGTCATAATAAGGAGAACTTTGTTATAGTAGAATATATTAATCAGGTTCCTGATTTCTAGTGACCATTAACAGCCTTTGCATACTGTTTTTACTCAAGATATTTTCCAATGATTCTCTCAATCTGTGTTACTCCCATCCTAATTTCCTTAGAGTTTTTCCCTGCCTGTTTGATTTATTCTCAGTTGATCAGGATGAGCTAATTTCCATGGGCTCCTGACCAGGGACCGTGCTGTCTGCGGAGTCCCCCAGGTCAGGAATGGGTCTTCCGTTGCACTTCTACCCCAAGGCTGCAGTCTCCCTCCCAGATCACGCAACATAAGAACCAGCTCCCTGAATATATTTTTCAAGCATTTTTAAGACTGATTTGCCACCTGGAGTAAGAAGTTGAGTAGTTTTTCAACACATCCATGTCCGGTTAGTGGAAGGAATCTAGGTACTGTCCTTTTAATGTAGAAAATGCCTACAGTTGCAACCACTGTCAACAATATTACTTGAATGATAAAACAAATACAGAATACAATCATTGCCTTCCTTATATTAAGCAAAGTCTAAAAAGCTTCACAGTTAAAACTGCATAATATTAAGGTAAGCACTTAGACAGGGAACTTCGTTTAGTTAGGGAGGGAAATAATAAAAAAAAGCACTTAAAGTTGGTAAGAAATTTCAGCATCTGCTAGAATGATCTCTGCTAAGATATAGCACTGGTTTTCCTTTTGAAAAAAGACCTTTTTCTCTCCCCCCTTTTCTTCCTTTCATGAGCTGTTCACAGTTTATACTGTTGGAGTAAAACAAAAATCTCCCAAAATATTTTTCACAACTATTAAGGACATTTATATCCCATGACTTGCTCATTACGGAATACTTTTGATCAGCATGAGGTACTTAATAGGACACTCTTTTCTAACCCTAGAGAATATCACAGAATCAAGACATGAATAGTCAGGCCAATCAGCCTAGAGACATAGCACATTTTGGATGAGACACAGTCAACCTTGGAAGAAGATGCTCCTGACTGGAACTGTGTTGTTAGTTTTGAATAATTCCAAATACCACCAATATGGAAATCACAAAGCTGAAATTTCAGCACATGAAACAGATAAAATTGGTACTACCAGAATTATTATTATAAAGAGGGCTTAGATATTATGGTAACGAATATCCTTATATCAAAAAGTTAGGATTACTTACAGTTGTGTGAGATGCAAACCCACTATTTTGAGCATATTATTAAAAAAAAAAATATATTTAATGACAGACAAACATGGCTGACAATAGTAACCTATTAAAGAAGGGGATGGAACGCCCAGAAATACACAAAAAGTGCAGCAACTGCAGCCCTACAACATAATGTCACATAGAAAAACCCAATGTGTATGACAATTAAATGAGAGATGTTAGAGAGAGTTATTGTCCTTTTTCTTAATAATAATTATAATAAAAATAAT